GTGTGTGTGTGGGGTGTGTGCGTGCGTGTGTGGGGTGTGTGGGGTGTGTGTGTGAGTGTGTGCGGGGTGTGTGTGTGGGGTGTGTGTGTGAGTGTGTGTGTGTGGGGTGTGGGGTTGTGTCACCTGGATCCTCACAACCCAACCCCCAACCTCTCTTTCTTCAAATACCACCGCCACCCCTGCCACCCCCCAAAGCAGGCATCACCCAGCATAGACCTGCACTGGTTTGGCCCGTGTTCATGGGCGTAGGGCTGCCAGTGGTTCTGCCGCTGCCTTCTATGGGTTGGCTGACCTGGAGTGATTCCCGATCTGAGCTCCTGCCCTGTCAGAAGGATATGACACCGTCACGGAACCTGTTACCATCCCAACGTGGATTGTTACCGCCAGCCGGAGTGGGGCTCAAACCCTGGAGCTCCTGGCCCTGAGGCAGGGTCACTACCCACTGTGGCACAAGACCAAGGACCCAAAGTTTACACTTTCTCCCTGACGGCAAGTCTGGAGATGACCTGTTTCCACACTGTATGGATTCTACATTTCTATGAACTTATGTGACTCCAGACCCACAGCAATGTGGTTGACTCTGAACTGCCCTCTGGGCCATTAGGGATTGGCAATAAATGCTGGCCTCGCCCAGTGATGCCCTCATCCAGAGAATAAATAATAAAAAAAAATTTGAGAGCGATAGCAGGAAGTTACCAGAAAAAGAGCTGGCGAGGTCTGAACAGGAGGGGTCCAATAAGCTGCAGTAATGCTTTGGGGACCCAGGTTCGAATCCCACCACAGCAGCTCGCGGAAGTAAATTTAATTTTACCGATTAAAATCTGGAACTGAACACCACTCTCAGTGATAAGTGACTGTGACAACTACCATCGACTGTTGTGAAAACCTCTTTGGGTTCACTCATGTCCTTCAGTGAAGGAAATCTGCCACCTTTAGCCAGCCTGCCCTCCATGTGACTCCAGTCCCACAGTGATGGGGGTTGACTCTTCACTGCCCTCTGAAATGGCAAAACAAGCCAATGAGGGACAGGTAACACCCATAAACAAACGATATTACACATATCCCACACAGAAACGAAGATGGGTATGGTTAAGGTCACTGTATTTGGAGGAAGTGCCTGGGCTAGGGGAGCAGTGGCCCATTGTGAGGGCAGATTGGACTAGCAGAGGACCACAGGGGTGAATGGATGGCCAGTTGGGCCCACCCTCCCACTCATTTGTTTCTCTCGCTTTCCCTTGAAATGTAGCCATCCTCGGCATTCCACACTCACACCATTCAATCCCTCCCTCAACACCAGCAAAATGAAAGAGCTGGTCATTGACGTCAGGAAGCAAGGTGGAGGGCATCTCCAGGTCTACATCAGCAGTGCTGAGGTGGAGAGGGTCAAGTTGCTAGGAGCGACGTTCCCCAACAATCTGTCCTGGACGGCCCTCATTGATGCGACAACAACGCCTCTACTTCCACAGGAGGCTAAGGAAATTCAACAAGTCCATAAGGACCCTTACCAAATTTTACAGATGCACCACAGAAAGCATTCTATCTGGATGCATCACGGCCTGGTACAGCAACTGCTCTGCCCAGGGCTGTAATAAACTACAGGGAATTGTGAGCACAGCCCAGTCCATCACACAAACCAACCCCCCACCCACTGACTCCATCTACACTTCCCACTGCCTCAGGACGTCAGTCAACATCATCAAAGACCCCTCCCACCCCGGTTATAATCCCTTCCAACCTCTTCCATCAGGCAGTAGATACAGAAGCTTAAACACACACCAACAGGTTCAAGAACAGCTCCTTCCCTGCTGTTATTAGGCTTCTGAAAGGACCTCTCAAATTTCAAGTTTAATGTTGATCTCACTGTTTGTGCAACTTCTCTGCAGCCGTAACTTTTTATTCCTCGCTCTGTTCTATCACCCTAATGCACTGTGTATAGTATGGTCTGCCTGTACTGTGCGCAAAACAAAACGTTTCACTGTACCTCAGTACATGTGACAATAATCAATCAAACCAAATCAAAATCAAAAAAGTGTTAGCGACTGATTGTTCGTGATCCTGTCATTCACACCTCCTCTGAGCACGTCCCTTCTTTCTGTCCATGCCCAGTTACCACTCTCTTTGGCCTTGCACCATCTTCCCTTCTGTCACTTAACCTCTCCTTCCTGTCATCCTATTGTGAGTCTTCCGTCCTGTTCACAGACCTCTGCTCCCCACATTCCCCCACCTGAGTGTCCTTCATCTCTAAGTTTTGACCTTCTGTTGCAAGCTCCTTTGACAGGAGATGTCGTCCCGTTATTGGCAGAGGTCCTGACCTGCCCAGTATTCCCAGCACCTTCTTTTTTTTCAAATCTGTGAACTTCCGGCCTCTGCGCAGTGATAAAGACACCGTGGCTATTGCCTTTCCCTGCCTGGCCCTCAGGTTAGCTGCTGCTTTCCGTTAATACCAGCCCAGACTCGAATGAAATGGCAACGGAGCTCACATGACATGGTGGCCTCAGGTCACATCCCTCTGCAGTTCATCAGTGATCCCACGCTCCACTGAATCAGTGCAGGGCAGGGATTTGCACAACTACAGCTAAGGCAGGTGGGGTGGGGGTGTGCCTATATAAGAAAAATAAAGACACACCACAAACAGGCCCTACCTTTTCAATCGCTTCACAAGAGGACTGGCGCAATAGGATCACCTTCGATCTACTGCAGCCCCGGCAGAATCACCAAACGGTTTGCCGAGCGCAGAAAAAGGCTATTTGGCCCATCAAGTCTCCACTGGGTCCCCAAAAGAGCATCTCATTTTCTTTCCTTTCATTCATAGGACGTGGGCATCGCTGGCTAGGCCTGCATTTATTGTCTCCCCTCCACCCCTGTTGGTAAGACCGAACCAAAATAGAAGAACTGTAGATGCTGGAAATCAGAAATTGCTGGAGAAACTCAGCAGGTCAGGCAGCATCAGTGGAGAGAAAGCAGAGTGAATGTTTCTCTTCTGTTCTGAAGAAGGGTCACTGGGCCCGGAATATTAACTCTGCATTCTCTCCACAGATGCTGCCTGATCTGCTGAGTTTCTCCAGCAATTTCTGGTTTTGTTGCTCATTGATAAGAGTCAACTACATCACTGTGGGTCTGGAGTCGCATATAGGCCAGACCAGGTAAGGATGGCAGTTTCCTTCCCTAAAGGGGAACCAGATGACTTTTTTCTGACAACAGTTTCATGGTCACCATCAGACTCTTAAATCCAGATTCTTTTCTTAGTTGAATTCAAATACCCGCATCTCCATCAATGGAACTGAGGTTGAGAATGAACAGCATCAAGTTCCTCAGAGAGATGATAACCGACAACCTGTCCTGGACTTCCCACGAAAATGCAACAGTCAAGAATGCACAACAACGCCTCTTCTTCCTCAGGAGGCTCAGGAATTTTGCCATCTCTATAAGGTCCCTCCCCAACTCCTACAGATGCACCATTGAAAGCATCCTGTCTGTGTGCATAACGGCCTGGTACGGCAACTGCTCTGACCAGGACTGTAAGAAACTACAGAAGGTGGTGTGCACAGCCCAGACCATCACAGAAGCCAACTTTCCATCCATGGACTCCATTTACACAGCTCGCTGCTGGGGAAAGGCGGCCAACATCATCAAAGACCAATCACACCCTGGGAATGATCTCCCACAGCCTCTTCCATCGGGTAGAAGGTACAGAAGCCTGAACACATGCACCAGCAAGTTCAGGAACAGCTTCTTTCCGGCCGTTATCAGACTGATGAATGGACTCTCCAGCCTCAAATAACGCTGATCTTGCTAATGATGATCTCTCCTAGCGCACGCCCTGTGCATTGTAACCATGTTCCCCTGTCCCAGTCACTTTGATCCATACATCCTTTGCTTACTATGATCTGCCTGTACCGCTCGTAAACAAAGCTTTTCACTGTACTCTGGTACACACGACAATAAATCAA